CTATGTCCGAGACCTTCCTTTTACCCTTATCCCCATCTGTAACAAGTGAAATTTGCTTATCATGTGTGTCCTCCTTTGTTGATTTATTCATCCATTCTTGTTTAGGCATCATAATTGCTTTAGGGGGCTGATCTTATTCTTTCTCTGGCATTTATGAGTCGAATGCCCTAGATGAAAATAATATGTACAGTATTCTGGATTATTCTCATAGACCACTGACTGAGAAAAGCCCTTTGAACCGCACTGGATCCAAAAAAAATTGGCAAATCTTTGGTTAAATCGATCTCCAAAAAACTATATGTCTAGAGAGAAGTGAGAGCTATAGAGAGAAGTGATTTGTATTAAATGAGTTTTGAACCCTTACAACTACTCCCAAGGGGAGTATTTATAGGGAAAAGCGGGATGGGCTCCCAAGTCTTGGGCTGGGGAGGCCCATTACAATATAAGGCCTCTATTGGGCTGGTTACGTTCGGATATATGAGCAAAGTATGGAAGTCTAGCAGACGAAGCTCTTGGAGATGTACATCTGGCTGACGAAGGTGTGGCAGACGAAGCTCTTGGAGACGTACGTCAGGCTGACGGAGGTGTGGCATACGAAGTCCTTGGAGACGTACGTCTGGTTGACGGAGGTGTGGCTGGAAGCCGTACGTCCCCGAGGGACCGTTATCTGTTGGAGGCCGTACGTCCCCGGGTGTTCCATGTGCTGGAGGCCGTACGTCCCTGGGGTGCTCCATGTGCTAAAGGTCGTACGTCCCCGGGGTGTTCCATGTGCTGGAGGTCGTACGTCCCCGGGGTGTTCCTTGTGTTAAAGGTCGTACGTCCCCGGGGTGTGCCATGTGCTGGAGGACGTACGTCCCCGGAGTCTCCCATTAACTGAAGGTCGTACGTCCCCGGGGTTTCCCCTGTGCTGAAGGATGTACATCCCCGGGGTCTTGCTTGCCGTAGTGGAAGTATGTGGGTCATGGGGTCTGGACCCATATACTCTATTAGGAGTCCCCCACTCTCTGAGCTGAGATGTAGACGAAGTGAAAGGGAGTAGATCATTGTCTTTGATGCTTTTGGCCTTCGGAGGGTTACCTGGGAGTTTTGGCGTTTCTGGCCGAGGCGGTGCCATAGTTAAGCATCGGGAACGTCCTACATCTCGAGGTCGAGGCGGTGCCATCTGGTGGGCTGATGCTTGTCATTGCATCTAGCCGAGGAGGCAACACAATTGCTTTTGGTTCTCCTTGCCGAAGCGAAATCATTAGCAGTTTGGTGTATATGGCTTTGAGGACGATGAATGTCATCCCTTGATGTTTCGCCCGACGTGGGACCACTGTGGTTGTTCTTTGCGTTTGGCCGTTGTGGAGCCTTTGTTTCCATGTCGTAGACGATGTGTGCCCTTCTGCTTTGAGGATAATGAGTGTGACATGATTGTTGGTTGCTTTTCGTCCTTCATTTCGAGGATGATGGATGTCCTTCATCTTGAGGACGATGGATGTCCTTCATCTTGAGGACGATGGATGTCCTTCATCTTGAGGACGATGGATGTCCTTCATCTTGAGGACGATGGATGTCCTTCATTTCGAGGATGATGAACGTCCTTCATCTTGAGGACGATGGATGTCCTTCATTTCGAGGATGATTAACGTCCTTCATTTCAAGGACGATGGATGTCCTTCATTTCGAGGATGATTAACGTCCTTCATTTCAAGGACGATGAACGTCCTTCAACTTGAGGACGATGAATGTCCTTTATCTTGAGGACGATGGAGGTCCTTTCAATAGACGTTGTGCGTTCATGGTTTTTGAGGACGATGAATGTCCTCTGTGCTTTTGACTTGGCCGAAAGTGGACGTCCGTGGTGTCTTTGTCATTTTGGCCGACAGTGGATCACATGTTTGAGGACGTCCATGGCTTGTGGTCCTTTGTCATTTTTGAACTTGTTTATCATTTGATATTTTTGGAGGACGTGGAGGCCGGTATAGTCCCCCAGTCCCCGACTCCTTGAGGCACATGTAATGAGGTGAAAAGGAGTAGAGCAATGCACGTCTCTAACATGCAGCCGAGGGTTGACACCTTTTGATCCACAATGGGGAGATGCCTCGCTAAAAACCTCATTAGGAAAAACCCTGTGGGAAAAAATCCTAATGAGGGAAAAAGATCACACCGGATGCCCCAAAATGAACTCCGAGGGGTGAACCCTTCGGCCTAGGTGTGGAACTGCAACGGTGTCCGTCTGCTGAGGGGACGCTCGCCTGCTGGAGGACATACGTCCCCAGAGTCTCCCATGTACTGAAGGTCGTACGTCCCGAGGTTCCCGTGCTGAAGAACGTACGTCCCCAGGGTCTTGCTTGCCGTAGTGGAAGTATGTGGGTCATGGGGTTTGGACCCATATACTTTATGAGTAATCTTAAGAGATACTTAAAGGTTGAATTGTATGAACTCTAAGTTATATGAGGGGTAGGCCTTAAATGCCACTCAAGATAATTTAATTCTAGGCATAGAGAATGTTTTAGGGATTGAATGATGTGAGTACGAGCAGGGCTCTAACACGTTATAATGGTGACTAGAGTGGGGCTCTAGCACGAAGTAGTGGTGTCTAGAGCGAGGCTCTAACACAATGTAGTGATGACTAGAGCGGGGCTCTGGCACGATATAGTGGTGACTAGAGCGGGGCTCTAGCACGGTGTGGTAACGAAATAGGGTTGGGCTCTATGATAATGCTATAACGCACTAGGGTAAAGCCCTATAACGGCGTAGTGAGCTACAAAAGGTGGTATGACGATCGTGACTAGTGGCCACGAGAAATAGGGAAGGTCATTTCAAAACGAACATGGGGTCACATGCCGACTACTTACTTTATATTAGCAAATATATTTTCAAACAGGGTAACCTAGGATTACGACTTATATTATGATATCACCCTATTTGAGGGTCTTAGAATTTGAAACATTGGTTATATACAGTGTAGTTGTCATTGTACTCTTCAAATGCTTCAAAGTACTGACCTCCCCTTCACGAGGGAGGCCACCTCACAATTTTAGGTAGAAGTTGAAACTTGCTACCAACGCCCGTTGCTTCGGGAAGTTCAAGGAGGGAAGACTTGGTTCGTGCTTTTTTCGTTTCTATTTTAAAAACAATTACATTAATGCTCATGGATATTATTTTCTGAAAAATTATGGAGGCTTGTATGCCTAAGTTTGCCAAGTGTGGCTTGAACACTTGTATTACTGTTTCCGCTGCTTTAATGAATATTTTACATTATGTTTGTTTATGGATGTACTACATGCGAATGATATTTAAGACACCTAGTATAGTATGAATGTGTTGGATTGCGGTTGACTATTCGTACTGTATGGTGGGTTGTTGACGTGTTCGGGTAGGTCTGAGGCATAACAATTAAATTGGTATAGAGCCTTAGTCTGTAAACTTCATAATGAAGTCTCAAATTTTCTTTTTGAAAATGAATTTGAAAACCATGAGCATAAGAAGTTTTGTACTTGTAGAACTTTGGGTACTTGAGTTGCAATGTCTCCAATTGTTAAGATGGTACCCTTAACAATTGGTATGATGGTGATTTGAGCCAAAGGATGTCTTTAAGTACCTATCCGTCAATTGACACTTGATACGGGTCTAATAACTCATTCTCAATTTCTTTCAGAAATGGAACGTATTGGTAAAGTTACTTGAAGGAACCTGACTCACCAGGCACCGAGAAGGTCCCGACATGTCTGTCGAGGGGCATCGAGGGTGTCAAGAGGACATGGCCGTGGAGGCCGATCTCAGACCGTGAGTGACAGTCACATGGAGACTATCGATGACTTTTATGGGTCTGAGGAGTACTCAACTTATCAACCGGAAACCGAACCGGTTGAGACCCCGTGCGATAAGGAAGATGATGATGTTAGCGAGGAGAGCAATGATGATGGCTCATTGGCAAGAATAGAGGAACTACTCCGCCAATATCAACAAGATCACCAAAGGCGTCGGGCGAGACGTGCTTTGGGAGGGACTCCAAGAAGAGAGAGTCGTGTGAGTCCGAGGGAACATGTGGAGTCCCAAAGAGGTTGAGGTGCCGAGGTTCCAATAATAAGGATCTCGAAGTACCTCAAAGAAGCGGGAGATTTGAGATGCAAATCGTTCGATGGAACGAGGGACATCTCCATAACGGCCGAGTGGATCAAGAGATACAATGAAGCGGTCCTTGATATGCAGCTGCCGCTCGACGAGAGTGGCAACAAGGTTGCTAGAAGGAATGGCGTCCACGTGGTGGGACAGACTCAAGGGGAAGTATGAAGAGACTGTCACTTGGGAGAATTTCCGACAGGGATTCTTCGGCCAATACTATTCCGATTACGACGTTAATTTGAAGAGGAGATGGTACACCAACTTGATCCAAGGAGGCAACTATAAAGTGAGGTAGCTTGAGTACAAATTCAGGGAGCTTGCCGAGTTCATACCGGAGTATGCTTGTGATGAGAACCGGATGGTCAACCACTTCTGTGATGCCTTGGACTTAGATGTGCGTTAGAGGGCAATACAGTTGCATAACATGAGTACAGATTCATGGAGCTCGCCGAGTTCATACCGGAGTATGCTTGCGATGAGAACCGGATGGTCAACCACTTCTGTGATGCCTTGGACATAGATGTGCGTTAGAGGGCAATACAGTTGCATAATATGACGTTCGTTGAAGTGGTTGAGCAAGTTTTGAAAATAAATAAGGAATGAGAGGGAAAAAAAGATGAAAAAAGCTAACCCTATCCAACTTAGGGGGTGTTTGGAACTGATTCTGCTTCTGCTTCTTTTTTAAAGTAAAAGCAGAATCAGAATCAGTTTTCAGAAGCTGGTACCCCCAGCTTCTAAAAAAACTGATTCTGAGAGTAAATTAGAGCACCAGAAGTGCTTCTGGAATTTCACCCAAACACTCCAACTTATGCTTCTGCTCCCTGAAGGAGCAGAATCAGTTTTGAGAATCAGATCCAAACACCCCCTAAGTCGGGAAGCCATGACCAAGGTTCTAGAACCATGCCCGATCTCTTCTACGGACAATAGACGTCTCACCCTATCCACAGGCTAATAGAGAAGAGACTTTGGCAACAGAAGTGATAGAAATTGGGAGGTCTTTCATCAATAATACATTAATACCTCCATCCCCCATCTCTTGCCGGTAGACATGGCTACCGCCGCTGCCGCACTCCAAATCTCCAGCTCTCTTTTCACTTCCGTCATCGGTAGTTCTCAAAAAAGAAAGGAAACTGCGAGATAGAAACAAGAACAGCAAAATTGACTTGTCTTGCCTTTTTTGCCTGCAGATACTACAACTATCTCACAGCCTGTGAAGCTCTGTATCAGCTCTCCATTTAAGACTTTGAGCGTAGCTCGGTTTGGAACTTCCTTTGCATCTGGTTCCGCTCTTGGTAAGTATTCATTTTCTGTCTTGAATTCGGTTAGTCTGTAGCCAGTGCGTCTCTCTGCGTACATTTCACGTTTTAAAGATTTGCGCAGAGAAGCTGTTTGACTTTATTCCTCATCCCCTGTAGAGTAGTTAGTTCAAGAATCTAGTCAAAGAACAATCTCATGAGTTGTGTCACCCAAATGGTTATGCATTAAAAACTAGAAACTTCTTCCCGTTGGTAAACCATCCATTTAGCTAAACATTGCTCATTGACTAATAAAGGTGAGTAGCTATGTAATATATTGTCAAGAATGCTGCAAGTTTGCAACTTTTGAACTTAGGTATGGGTAGCAATGTTTAGGTTTCAAATCCAATGAGCAATATGTGCTCTTTGTTTTTTCTGTCTGGATTCATCTAGTAGTACTTTAGTTATACAAAATTAAAGTTGTAAGAGCTGTACTTTAAAAGTTTACATTTTTACGCAATTATGTTCGCAATACAAATCATATAGTTGCAACGGTTGGATTGTAGAAGAAGTTCCTTTACATTGTTGATGAATTAGAATATACAGGCCTGATTAATATTTTTGTGGCTAAATTTTGAAGTGGCTTTTATTTACTCAATTTCAGAGTGGTCGACTACAGGGTATTATTTGAGCATATATAGCTATGTTATACCATTATACAGAGTAATGAGAATGTTTTGAATGATGAAATGTTGTAGGTGGGAGAATCTTTTTTAGATTAAGACTTAATGTAGTAACTACTACGTATTTCACATGACAAGATTTGAATGAATAAGCATTAAAAGTTTGGTATGCCTATAATAAATCTGACATGTCAAAAGTACCCCCCGATTCAAAGAATTTATAACAATGATAATTCTTTATAAAATAAAGAACATGTAAAGAACATGAATCTTGAAATCATGTGAAAATCTCAAAGCAGTGACAAAATTGTTGACTCTACAAATCTGCTTTTTTTTACAAAGATGAGATTTAGTGCAATCATCCCTTGTCATGCGAACACTGACAGCTAGGGGGGGACCTAGGCCTCGGTCCACCCCAAATTTAAAAAATGGTTTAATCTTTAATTTTAAAAATCCCATGCAAAAGTTTTTCCAAAAATATTATTTGTACCGGCCCGGTCCAGTGCCTTGGCATGCAAAGGTCTTGAATTAAGGACGTAAATCCTACGTTGCCTTACATTTATTTACACAACATGACAACAACAACATTACTCGTGTGCCGCAAAGGCTCCCACCTACGGTGTAGTAAGGGAGGTCGAATGTAGGCAACCTTACCTCTGTACTAAAACTCAAAGAGACTGTTACCGGATGACCCAAGATGAAAATCGCTCGACTGCTACTTCATAACAAAGAAGTGCAGACAGTTTAGTGAATAATTTTTCTGTATTCCATCATATTCCCAAACAAAAAAATAGCGAGTCTTTAACTCCATTGGAAATGATGGAAAATAATTAAAGTCGTAAACCATTGAATTAAAGGTCTTGATCCCATGATTATGGAAAATATCGCTAATGTTTAAACTTTATATATGGTAACTCAACCTTCTTTAGACTACATCTTGATTTATTGAATAACATAATAATGGTATTGTTCTTTTATCATATTTTGTACTCTGTATGTTTTACTTCGACTAGTTTTAGTCCTAGATCAAGTCAGACCAAAACACACTTAAATAGACCAAAACAGCCTAGATCTAGACAATAGTAAATAGACATAATATCATATTGTTCATAGTTCATACCTTACCAAACCAGTTCAGACTAGACCAGAACAAACAAAAAATATTCAGTCCAAGTGAAAACATCTTATACCACTACATGAATGAACCAAGCTATAAAACTCAAGATAGAAGACAGATACCTAGAGTCAAAGATCTTAACAAGTAAACTGATCTACTCTTTCTTTATTGCTCCTGATTTACAACAGTATTAAAGACCTCTTATCGAACTAAACCTGCCAGTAGAAGAGCATTGGTTACAGTAAGATGCGAGCAGAGTACCAATGAAAGCAGTGGTTTGGACATTTGGCTCGGTCGATTTGCGATGATCGGATTTGCTGCTGCTGTTGGTGTTGAAATATACACTGGCAAAGGATTACTTGAGGTATTTTTGCATCAATTCTTATAATCTAAGCGTCTTTTTGAATTGCATATGCCGTTTTTGATAACTATTAGAGGATTAGGGAAAACTTGTCCAGATGTCCTTCATGTTTGCCTACAGGTGCGGATTTATATGCTTCGGAAGACTGATCCTTGGCTTTATTTTCTAAAACATAACTTCTAGAAATCTCATGTCTATCAATTTGGTTTACGATGTGTGGTTGATTAAAATTTAACACTTCCTTGATATTATAATATATGTGTATATATATATAACATAAATAATTAATATTTATTTATTCAGAAACCACCCTAGAATTTAATTAAACGGAAAAGTCCAAGAAAAGATTATTATATACGGAGTAAAAAATAGAGATTAAAAGAGAGTCAAGTGGATTGCATAAACAGTCTCGGCAATCTTAAAGTTTGATTTAGGAAGTATTAGTTGTAATTAAAATGGCAGCAAAATTTTAGAAAATGCTTTATGTAATTCTGTAACGAATGCATTCATATTGTGTTTTTGAATTGCAAATGCTGTTTGGACTAATGTGTAATTTATTCATGTGGGTTTGCAGAACTTTGGGCTAACAAGTCCCTTGCCAACAGCTGCCCTTGCAGTTACAACATTGGTGGGCGTTCTTACTACAGTTTTCATTTTCCAATCTGCTTTTAAGAGCTGATTACTTGGTTTACATGTGTTTTATAGTAAAGTGAAATTCTCATGACACATTCTTAATTAAATACAACTCCTATCATCACATAAGTGTATCATGGCAGAAACACCAGTAAGCAGTTACCTGGTATGGCGGAAGGCAGAGAGTGAACTTGCCAAGTAGACGCTTTTCATTCTTCATTCCCCTCAGAATAACCTGGTTTACTATTGTTTTCACCAGAAACAAGTTTTCATGTATATATGGGGGGCAGCCATGGACGCAGCCCCAAAGTACAGCACCCCAAAACCAAGTTCAGCCAGATTTTTCTCGGTTCTTTTTGTGTCTAACCGAGCAGACCAAGAATGACTGCATAGCCTAATCTATCATCACATATTGGTCGGTTTAGTTTTAATTGCAGACAAAGAAACCGCAGTCAAATGGGAGGGTGGGTGGCCAACCAAATGAGTTGAACTACCTTGCCCTGGGGTGTGATCCAGTCTCATTTTGGAGGAATAGAAATCATACTCGAAGTTGACTGGTTTCAGGAATATGTTCTGATTCATTTCCAATTAAACTAGTTTTAATGGGTGATATAATCGTTAGGTTTTTAAACCTGGTCCATCCCTTGGTAGGAGAAAGGAGTGCTTGCTTAGGAACCCGCGCAGGTAGCTCAGTTGATTGAGTTGTTAGAAATTTGGAACAATGACAAGTTTCAAAACTCGCAACGACTGTGTGGAGGTTACATCTTTTGCTTGTTGGGTTGAACCTCTAGTGCGTACGGGTATAAGGCCTACCATTGTTGGGCCGACTGAGTTACTGTGACTTACTCCTTCATAGGGCTGTTAACGAGCCGAGCCCCAACACCCAAAGCTCGAGTTCGGCTCGATAAAGAATTAGTGGTGTTCGAGTTCGAGCTCGAAGCTCGGCGAGCTTTACAAATGAGGCTCGTGTTTGGCTCGATAGGTGTTCGATGTTTGATCCGAGCGTTCAATAAGCTCGATAAATTGCTCGAATTTAAAATTTTAGGTGATGTTCGTTTATAGGCTCGTGCTCGAATGGTTAGAACCGAGCTCGTGCTCGAATAATCATATTTAAATTCATAAAATAATGTTAATTATATTTATTTTTTTAATTATATTTATAATTTTTGGGTGTTCGATAGGCTTGAGTTTGAACCGAGCTGAATACTACTATGTTCGAGCTCAGCTCGATTAATTTTTCGGACTTAAAATTCAGCTCGGGTTCGTGTTCGAAAGCTCGTTAAGTTTGGCTCGTTAGATTTGAAACCGAGTTCGAACTCGAACCGTTCGATAAAAGCTCGGTTCGTTAACAAATAACAACCCTACTCCTTTATCATTATGTTGGATTGCGGTGACTCCTTTATCATTCTGGTGTGCGGTGCCAAGGGTGGACCATTTCATACTTAGGAGTCTATAGTTAAAAATGGGCTGATTTGACTATTAGTTGACCTTTTGTCCACATATATTGTACTACGTTGTGCAGTAAATGGTTTTTTGACTTGTCTTTATCTGAAACAGTCTAAATAAAAAATGCTACCACATTTAGCCTTTTTTTAGCCTTGTTTTAGATAATGGTGTTTGGGTGTGTTAGAATGAAGAGACAACACATCCAGACACATTCTAGCCTTTTTTAAGCCTTGTTTTAGATTATGGAGTGTTCAAAATTACTTTTTTTTAATTAGTTTATGCTGAGTGTTCAAAATTACTTTACCATTTAAATTTGTATGATATGATAGTATTTTTTTATCCAACAAGTTAAAAAATGTAGAGTTGTCTGTTTGTCAGCTGGGGACAGACATGTGTACACAAAAAGTGTACACATATTTGATGTACATCAAGCAAAGTTGTAGAATGAATTCACTCCAACTTTTTCATGGTTGGAGTAATACGAATGTGTTGAAATGTGTGTAATATGGTTGAAGCAGTTAAATTTATTGAATCTATTAAATCATTAAAAGGTATATTTAAATTATATTTACTCAATGTGGAGTAATATGCGTAACGTTTGTATCTATAACATTATTATATGAAAGGACCACCAATTTGCACAAAAAAGTATTACCTCCGATAAAAATTAATTATTTTGATGATAATTAAATAATGTAATTCGAGTATATTTTAAAAAAATAATTTTGATAGCTGTATAATATAATGATGTTAGTGTTAATAATTGTGATGTTATAGATATATTATTTATATATTTAATGATTAAATTGTCAATTATTTTCTAAAATAGAAGTCAAAACTTTTATATAAAAAAGTCTAAAAGAAGAGAAGTGAGAACCTTTTTATGTGATGGGAAGAAATTATATAAGCTTTTGCTACTATTGTGATTTTATTTATGACTTTCTAAATTTATTTATTTTTGTAAAGTAAAGCCTTTAAAGTTAATGTTGTATATATATTATACGGAGTATGCCAGATTCTTTATTTTTCAAATTTATCGTGTAAACGTATCATGTTATTCGTGATCGTGCTGTCGGGCAATTATTGTTTACTTTTTTCATGTTTTCTAAATTCCCAAGTTCGCTAGTTTAGTTGATTCTGCACCAGAATTCCAGAAATTATTGCATGCCGGAAATTTTAGGTCACACTAGTAAATACGTAGTACCTCGTAGTCTTTAAATGCATTTTCGTTCACATAATATCATCATATTAATGCATATAAAATGGTTAACAACTTGATCACGTTGATACGATATATACTCATGTGACTCTTCTAAAGAATTCATCTCTCGACCACAAATTAAAAAGAAATCTCTTCTTTCATCGTTTTTGAATATACTATTCTTTGAAAAGAAACAAATTTATACAACGATATTAAAAATAATCAGTTAAAATATTTAAATAGCCTAAGGTCACAATAACTTGGCATAAAAGTATAAAACTGAAAGATCTTCAAGGAGCATAACAGCTAGTGGCAGATTTTGCAATGAATTATGGAGTGTTCAAAATTACTTTACCATTTAATTTTTTTTTTTGATAATCCAGGTGTCGGGGTTTACGCTCCCATAATCCTGGAGTCTATGAACTACCCTCCAAAGCCCTTAGACAGTTAAGTCCGGATCTGATCACAGTCAGCCTCGTCAGTACTGGCTCCAAAGGACGAATCCATTAAGACTTACATCACCTTTCAGGCTGCTGCTCCCACCACACGAACCCGCTACCTTCATTATCATCCTCTCCCTTCTCAGCCGCTGAGCAACTCCGTGAAGGTAGGGAGAATCATTGGGAGCAAGACCTCCCTCATCTCCTTTGGTGGGAATTGAACCCAAGACCTCCCACAAAGAAGAGATTTGGGGGTGGATGATCATCAATTGGACTACACCCACTTTCCCTACTTTACCATTTAAATTTGTACGATATGATAGTATTTGAACATAGGATGGTCCGCCACCGATAACAGCGCTAACTCGTAGAAATTATAGACTAACGATCAAGACAAGAAAAATATTAAGAATAAACTATAAAAGAAAATAAATACGAGTACTCCCTCCGATTCCTAAACAAGTTCCACATTTGACTTCACACATATTAAGAAAATAAATTTGACTTTACTGTGGAGTGCACTGTTTGACACTGTTTGGCACTGTTTGAACACTGTTTGACACTGTTTTGATATAGATAATAAGGAAATGTTTTAAAGTGGAACTTAATTTTGAATCTGCCCGAAAAGGAAAGGTGGAACTTGTTTCAGAAACGGATGGAGTATATAAATTGATTTCTCCATCCATCCACCCACCCATAATGAATTAACACAAATTATGATTTCTAGTGTGTCAAAACTGAAATCCGTAGCATGACTGTGGCTGAAGATGGGGGCGAATAATGGGGTCCTGAGAAGCCGGCAGTACTTAAAATCAGGATCCTAGAAAGACTAGGTAGAAGTAGAAGTGGTAGAACAATAAAGTTTTACGAGACTATTGGGGAAGTTGAGTGTAGTCCGATGGATGACCATCCATCCTCAAGTCTCTCCTTTTTGGGAGGTCTTGGGTTCAATTCCCACCAAGGGAGATGAGAGAAATCTTGCTCCCAATGATTCTCTCTACCTTCACGGAGTTGCTCAGCGGCTGATCAGATCATAGACTCTGATCAGATCCGGACTAAACTGTCTAGGGGTTTTGGAGTCTAGTTCATAGATTCCACAATTATGGGAGCGTAAGCCCCGACACCTAGATTATCAAAAAAAAAAAATTTACGAGACTATACCCACTTCAAACACAAAATTAAAGCCCTACATAGTTTTAGGAAAATGCATGCATATGAGCTGAAAACACCCACTGAAATTAAGAGCACGTTGGGGTAACTCATATTTTACGAAGTACATACTACCTCCATCTTGCTATGATTGTCTCATTTTACCTTATCGGTTCGTCTCACTAAGATTGTCCCATACCAAATTTGGTGAAGTTTGTATGGTTCTAAATCATTTTTACTTTATTCTTATTTTATCAACTCAATATCAACTACATATGTAACTTTAGTTTCCAGAATATGTGATTGTAGTTTCAGAGTTTATTATCAATCCTACTGTCAACCTTTTTTCAAAAAATGTAACTTTAGTTTCAAAGTTGTTTTTTTTTTGGATTTTTCACAAGAATATTACTAAAATAAAACATATTTACATAAATATGGCTATTCATTACTACAATGTGGTGTTGTAGTAACTTAAGCTCAAAACTTGAACATGAATTACTATGATTTCATTACTACTCTAGTCATTAATCATATTTTTGTAAATCATCTTTATTTTGGTCATATTTATGTAATTATTTCAATTTTTTGTGGCCTAACCGTTACCGTGAAAGATTTTATAAGTATGTACCAAATTTTTTATTTTTCAACCTGACAATTTTTTATTATGGTCTACCCTTATCGAAAAAATTGTCGACGTATTATTTTGACAATGCATATAAAATGATACAGTACTACGTACATTTTTTTGGTTATTTCGGAATCATTGTTGAGTGAGGAGTTATTTTTTTAGTGTGTCTAAAGTTACAACCCTAATCGTGTTAAACGCTATAAAAGTTAGTAGTATTAGTTCTGATTTGATGGTAAGAAACATATTAACAACTCACACAACCGAAGACTAACATTTAGAAACTAAAAGACACAAATACAGAATTTCAAACATGAATACTATTTGGCTTATGAAGAACTATTAGTGCATTTTTCTCAATTACAAGTATATGGAAGCCAGTGAAAAAGAATCATGCCAATTTACTCGTAAATTATATTATCAAGAACAAAATGTACACATAATAGTAAATTAATAAACATATAAATACAATAGTACTTGAGGGGAATTTTATCAATTCAGAACGCGAAAGATATATAGACGAATTATCAATCCGGAACCTGAAAGATGAAATGCATCAATATAGGACCCGAATGATGAAAAACTATCAATTTAGGACCTGAATGATTGAAAACTATTAATTTAGGACCTAAGTTGTCATAAATTTTATTTTAATTTTTATTTTAAAAATTTTAAATATTATTTAGTTTTATTAAACTAATAAACTTTTGTGAAGAAAAGTCTATCAAAAATTAGTAATGGAATTAATAAAAAATTAAATAAATCAAAACTTATGGAACATTAGGTCCTAAATTGATAGTTTTCCATCATTCGGGTCCTATACCGATATGTTTCATCTTTCGGGTCCTGAATTGATAATTAATCTATCTTTCGGGTCCTGAATTGATAAAATTCCTACTTGAGGCCTTAAGCATACAAAAATGTAAACTAAAAAAAAGGATGACACTCCATCCCTGAGGGGCTCCCAACCTTGATCGGACGGTACATTGAGAGGATGTAAATTGGACTATAATTCCAATCTGATAGATAGAGAATCCAATTTACAAAAATGTAAGAGAAAATTGCGGTTAGTAAGACTAAATCATGCAAAGTTTACAAGATTAAGACTTAGTTAAAAAAAATCATTCGTAAGCTTTATTTAGTTTTATTTTAGGAAACTTAATTTTTAGTTTCCCTTTTTACCCTTCGCTTAAGGTAATGTATTAACGATCAATCTCTTCCGCAACGATCAATCTCTTTCACAGCGGCCAATCTCTTCCACAATGATCGTCTTCTTCTTCTTCTTCTTCTTCTTCTTCTTCTTCTTCTTCCGTTCTTCATCTTAATGGGAAGCCATCATGCGGTGACAGCGTCATCAAATTCCGATTGGGCAGTGCCGCTGATTCCATTAATTAATGGCTTTCACGGTGAATATTTGCAGACCATAACTTCTGCTGCCTGCCCCGATCTCAATCCGCTCCATCTTTAAAGTAATATGCTTCGTCCGCGGCTATTATTACGACGCTATTCAGTGGATATTTTGATTGTTTTATTCCAATCTTTCATTGGTTCATTGATAAATTTTATCACTCAATTTATTAAGAAAATTGTCATTGTTTGATATTTTCATGTATAAACGAATTTCGTTTATATATTCTGTATCAGTTTTGTCATCTTCTATTTTCAATTCTAATTGTGGTCTTGAAAGTGCAAATCAAAGTGTTTATCTTCTCTGTTTTTAATGTGCATTGTAGATTTCTGTTTTTTCTACTTTATATAGTTCTTTGAACGTTTTGTTTGTGTGATTAATCTGTATGTGCTCTTATACGGAATAGTTGCAAGCTTCATGACTATAAATTCATCTCACTTTTCATGACTCATATATACATTTAATTTGTGCTTATGTATTTGTGTTTCTGTTTTATTTAGTGACTCATTTATCCTCTATATATTGTCCATGTCATTATCATTTTGTTGTTGTTCATGCTTTTGAATTGTTAATCACACTGATTGTTGTTTTCCTGTTTTTATCATATTTAATATTGATTTGGCTGTTTTACTGATCATATTCATTTAGTATTGCGTTTTATTGTCTCTTTCGTTTTAGATGTAACTACAAATGCAGTAATTATGTTGATTATGCTTAAGGTTGACGACACTTGGGACAAGTCAAACTGTTTCTCTAACTAACGAAGCTTTTGGCTAATAGTACCTGAAGTGACATTGTATGTTCAGTATACTTCCCTAGTTTATGCATGCATTGGTGAATCTGTTAACAACAAAGATTAAAATATCTTACCATATTCATGCATGTGCACCTCCTATGGTTGTTTGTGATCCTTGTAGCTTGGAATTGTACTAGGCGCTGAAAAGGGTTGACCCTGAGGTCCCTGACTATGCGATGTTTATTTCGTGTGTTGAGTTGTTTACTATACCCGTTTGCATCAATAATCATACCTCCAAAAGGCTGTAGCCGATTTTTCTGCAATTGATTTCAATTTGGGCCAATTCTCCATTCATGACTTATTAACCAAAAGACATGTCTGCCACGTTTATTCTAATTGATCTCAATGTTGCTGCCATGGATTCACTTGTGCACCAAAAAAATGATTCGATGAATTTAAAAGACATACATTCCTCTTCCATTGACGATTCAGAAGACAACTTAATGATTCATATCAACACTTTTTAGCTTTGTTTTCTTCAAGTCAAGCTCCCAGTTTTGATTCAGACTCCCGTTTCAATTCTTTGTATGTTGTTCCCGATTTTGATGTTCTTTCTAACTTCTATCATACTCATATTGTTGCATGTTGTTTTTGTTGATGATGAATGCAACTAGACTGTTCATGGAGTGATGCTTTTTGGAATTCATATGTTCCGGATTAGAAGGTACATGTTTTGATTTTACAGGTGACATCTTGTGTTCATTCTACATTTTATATACTTCCTTTTATTTTATTTTAATGTCTTTCGTATTTGTTTAAGGACTATTTAAGGACTACTTAGTGTCTATACTTATCTGATATTTGTGTTCTTCTTTTCAGGTTTGATTCTGATCATTCTTATTATATTGATTTTAGACAATGCATCATCAACAATCCACATCTGAAATTACTGCAGAATTTATAAAGTACCGATATGCAGATGCATCTAGAAAATCCTATGCTTAGAATGATATAGTGGTTGACATGAATAGAGATTATGGTGTGACACTAAACAAGCTAAAGAAGACTCTTGCTCATAGAGATAATTTATTTATTTATTGTCACAGATCAGCATGCGGGAATTATTCATGTAGCAAGAACAGTTTCTCCACATGCACGCTGAACATGGGTACTGTGTTCAACACATTTTAGACAATGTTAGGATAAACTTTAGAGGATCTACTACTATTTTGCGATTGAAGTTCAACTAGGCAGTCAAGTCTGCCACAAGATCCCCCTATTCATACTTATCTGTTGAAGTTCAAGCGGAGAGTTTCGTTACCGGCAACGTTATTCACGGTGCAAGAAAGGTGGACACAATAAGAAGTCTTACAAGAATTATATCATGATCCGTAGTTCTTAGTTTGATAATATTATATGGATTCATTTTTTATTTCCTAGAATAACATTTATAAGACTTACACACCAAACAGCTTGCCTCACACACCTGCTAATTGAAGATAGAAGGTCACTGAAGTACTGATTGAACACATCAACACTCTAATTGTACTCATACATGTATTTTGTCTTCAAAAGCAATGTATAGATCGACCTTTATGTTCATATTCATGTGATTTGTATTGTACCTATGCATGAGAAATATTTCCAAATCTCATTTCAAGAGTTGAATCTATCAAGTTTCATAGTTGATTCATAATTTTGTGCTAATGTTTGTACTTATATTAACTGTAGGAATTTAATGGTTGCGCCTGAGACATTAAAGACTTGTTACTGTCTACTTATGGACAATATTCCATAATTCAAGCAGCATTATAAATCAACTTAACACTAAATAACAGTGATCGAGCATTGGATATGTCACTAAAAACAAGATTACACATAGTCAAACCGATTGTCACCGATATTTAGGAACAATGCTTAATGTCCAAAAGAATGAATTTTACATGTTCTTTTTTTTCAAGATCGTAATCTTAATCTTAAAATTACAAAGCATCGTAGTCTAACTACTTCCATCTTGATGCATACATCAGTAACTTCGTCGTCATTTTTAGCGGTAGCTATCAACGTCTTTCTTCAAAACTTCACTCCAATCTCTACCCATCAGTACAAATTCAACAAATTTGATGAGAAACATACCACAATTGTCCCTGCAAGTGTTTAAACTTAAAGGCCGGTAAGCATTTTTAATGTATTAAGTTATGTAAAGAATATCAAAATACACCCAACATACCCATCATCTTGCTATGGACAAATATGAATCACATTGATACAAACTGATATTTCTAAATTACTGTCTTATTATGGACTGATTAATGCCTATAAGTAGACCTTAATCAGAATCTTATGTTTTCTGGATCAATCTCTACTGATTGAACACAACAGCCTATTAATCGTATTCATACATTTATTTTATCTTCAAAAGAGATGTATAGACCTTTATGTTCATATGATCATTCAGATTGAAACACGATTTCGAGTTTTGATCTCCTTTTTATTGAGCCTATGCTTCAAAAATCTCTGTCGGGGTAGTTTTCCTTTTCGGTGTTCTCAACATCTGTATCCTCCAATCTTTTCTTCGTTGGATTTCTTCAGAGTCGATCGACTTGCTTTTTTGTTATTTTTTCTGGTTGTGATTTGGAAGCTGTGAAGAACAATTTTGATCTAAAAATTTTTGATATGGTAGAGCTATGTGATTTTAATTTGAGGGTATAATCGTCAAAATGTATGCACTTAAGTCCTACTCATACTTGCAATCCTAATTTTGAAAACTTCATATGATTGGGTCTTATTTGTATAATTTTCCCAAAATGTAAACTAAAAAATTACAGGCCCGTGAATACATATAATTCTAAATAAAACAAAAAAAGGAGAAATACAGAAAAAGAATCGATTTGAAAAAAGAGGGACTGAGCGAGCACGTGTTTCAAGTTTGAATCGAAAACTTTTGTACATTGAATGACTGACACTACACTAGCTAGCTAAGATCCTGGCTTAATTTTCCACCATAGACGTCCTGGCAAATTGACGCAGGTTTCTGAGGTTTCCAGCAAAGCTCCGAGGAGCGCGGGCACTGCTGAAGGCAATTGTCTCCCAGGCTGCCGGCAACTGATGACGAATTACCTTTCCCACCGGACCAGAACAGTCCCGCCGGCGGAGACCCTTTCAAGAAGTTACCGTCCAAGAACAGCCTCCTTATTGAATGCTGCTTCCCGTATTGAGGCGGAATGGATCCTCGTAGCCTGTTGTACCGCAAAGACAGCGACAACAGTCCGGGATAGTAGGCGAAATTTTCCGGCAGGTAGCCCTGAATTTTGTTAAATCCCACATCGACGGCGACGAGGGCTCTGTTACCGTTCACCGGTTTCCATACCGTAAGCCCCGTGAAGCTGTTGTATGACATGTTGACCTGCTGTAACGCCGGAAGCTGGAAGAACCAAGATTCCAGCTTTCCGGCTAACGAGTTGTGGCTGAGCTCGACGACTTCCAGCTGAGTCAACCCGTTGAACGACGATTTCTGCAAATACCCGGTTAAAGAATTGGCCTTTATCGCGAGCGTAATCAGAGTCGGCGGCAGCGGCGGTATCGACCCGGTGAGTCGATTGTAGCTGAGGTCGAGCTTTCTCAAGCAGGGGAGCGAGTTCATGGAAACCGGCAACGACCCAGAAAGCCAGTTCTGGGAGAGATCCAGCTCCTGCAGAGATTTGAGCATGGAGATGGACGGCGGGACTGAGCCGGAGAACGAGTTACCTCGGAGTACGAGCTTTTGCAATTTAAGGAGAGAGAACAGAGAGGCGGGGATCCGGCCGAAGAATCTGTTATCGTGAAGGTCAAGGGTGATGAGAAAAGTGAGGTTGGATATGGCGGGGGTGAGGGTGCCGGAATAGCCAACACCGTCGAGGACGAGTCCGGTGACTCGGTTGCCGGAGCAAGAGACGCCGCAGATGAAGTGGGTGAGGCGGGGGAGTGAACAGGGGTCAGTGGAGAAGTCCCAAGAACCCAAGCAGGAGTAAGGGGCAATGGTTGATGAGTTTATGGAAGATTTGAAAGCCTTGAGAGCTTCAACGTCGGAGGAAGCGGTGGGGAGGGATTGCACAGAGAGGAGAAAGAGGGAGAAAGAGACGGCGGCGGTGAAGAAGGCGGAGGTGGACATTTTGATTGAGGTAAAAATGAGTTCGAAATGGATGGATGGATTTAGCAAAAAAAAAATGAATTTGATTTTTTATTAGTTAGGGATAGATAATAATTGAAGTAGGCTTAATAATATGGTAAGAGCGTGGGCGCCGCGACAGAGATGTTTGGATTGATTTATAATGATTTCGGTCGGTCTCATAGCTCGGAAAAATCTTTGCTGGACGCAACTAGCCCCAACTAGTGCGTTAGCCTACCACCAACCTACGTTGGAATCTATTCTTTACTTCACCTTTTTTACTACAAAAAAAATTGAAGAAAAGTTTGTCACTAAAAAATGTCTACGTTAAGATTAATAAAATATTGAGATTTAAGCATAGTAATAACATAAAATGTTTTCAAACACCTTGAGTTTCGATCACATCACTATGACTCTCTCATGAGAAGGTCATTGATTCGAAACTCATTTCAATTAAGTATGTTGACATTTAACAATTAAGAATTGAACGGATACTATCAAGAGAGACTACAAAATCTAGCCAAAAAAATAACGTAAAATGTTGTACACCATATATTAATAAAATAAAATGCAAATATGATTGTAGATAGTGAAAACTTAATTAATATTTTGGACTTATTGATTTATAATAGTCCATCATATCATTAAGCCTTTTTTAATGCTATTGCACTATTCTCAATCATTTTGGATCTCATTTGAGTGTTGTTGGTCCACCGTTAGATTCTACTGGACTGCTCGTAATAGTTGTTGGGCCTTATCAAAAGGAAAATATTAATATGGATCCATTCAGATATAATTTAATTAATTCGGATTATTTGAATATCCAATTCATTTAATTCTTTGAAATAAATGGATCGGTCCTATTAAATTCTTTATCTTGAACCCATTATTAAATAGTGTCCCAGTGAATAAGAGATATGATCCAACTTGTGAAGCGGACAACGAATCTAGTTAAGAAATCTATTCAAATGCATGAGAAATGGCTACGAATCTTGTTAAAAAGGTCGTTCATATACATTGCATAAGTGCTGATTTTTCTAGCTATTAAAATACAAGCAAGTAGAACTCGGAGCCCATTTTATTTGAGACCCTAGGCATATGGACACATTTCATTAAACCCTAAAGCATTTTCAGCTCCTCCACATTTATAAATAGGGGTCTCAATTGAGAGAAAGGGGAGAGAGAGCTTCCGGTCGAAGAAACGCCGCAGAAAACCTCTGAAGAACTCCTGAGAGACTCTGAATGATTCCAAAAGGGAGAAAGAGATCAAGCCACGAATTTTATTAAGAATATACGAATAATCCTTTGTGATTTCGTTCATTCTTGATAAAATAACTTCAAAAGTTGAAGAACGTTCGAAGATCCGAAGATCTGAAGAACAATGTTTTGAAGATTCGAAGATATGAAGAACGAATCTTTGAAGATTTGAAGATATTCATATAAAGATTGAATCAAAATTCAATTGAAGGTCAAGTCATATATCCCGGGAAGTCCTTAAATAGAAGACCACGCCATAAAACGGCCCTTTTGTTGAAGATCAAGCTACTTGAAAACCGGATGCCCTTCAGAATTCTGCATTCAAGAAGATTTGAATATCCAAAGAATGAAGATTCGAAGATTCGAATATGTCAAGAATGAAGATTTGAAGCTCCAAAGAACGTTCGAATGTTTGAAGGATTAAAGATTTAATTTTGAATTAAATTCTTTAATTATATTTATATCAAATTGAAAGTGAACTCAGTATTCTCATATATTATTATTTGCGATCAATTTTAAGTAGATATTTAAAATTTGTTTCACAATGATACTAATTTTGAAACAATATAAAAAGTAAAATAAATAAAATGAGAGGAATGAAATATTTATTTAAGAGTAGTTATTATCCAACATGTGTCTAGTGAGTGGATTCACCAACTATGTCGTCAAAACGTCAATAAACTACTACTATAAGAAAAATGCTACTTGTACACCTTAACTTGCACACATAGTATTCGTATCTGTGTATAGATAATTGATTTTTAATTTTAACAAATGGGACTGTGTGAGACCCTGAAATAGTGAATTATTTGTTTGGACGTGTAAGCCAATGTGTACAAGTAGAACAATTCAAAGCATAAACTATTAAGACACTAATTGTTTATGTTTCAATTTCAAATGCAACTGTTTTCAAAAAAAGAAATACTAATGCTAACTTGCTATGTACTACACATTTTATTTTAGGGGTAATTTGAGTTTGCGCATCATTTCATTGTCCAAATTAGACTTTGCATCCCGTTTTTTTTTTTTAAAAAAAATGTATTTACAACTCAATCCCATATGGGAAGACAAAAATGTCTCTCCATCAGAAATACGTTAAAGATCAACATAATTATTAATGGAGGGGCACATTTGTCTTTTCATACGGAATTGGGTCCAAATACAAAATTTTTAAAAAACGAGGTGTAAAGTCCAATTAGACAATAAAATGATGTGTAAACTAAAATTACCCCTTAATTTTAACATAATCCTGAACACAATGTCACACTGTATATAGGTCATTTTTTGAAAAAGAAAAATGAAAATTAATAATCACATCTTTTAGCGATCTTCTTGCAATAGTCTTACATAACTATAATTCATGAATAATCTCACATTTGCACTTCATCCTCTTTCATCGATCCATGTCTCTACGACTGGTTGATGACCTGTTATTCCAGTTTATTTTCTTTTATTTGCAAAACATTAAACCATAAATCACACATTTCACAAATCTTCTCCAAACAGTCCCACAAATTATTTTTTCCTCCCTAAAAGTTTTCTCTTTTTATTTTTATCCGCTTGGCTCTTTTATTCCCTTTTTCGTCTTCTTATTCTTATTTGTGAAAAGGGTCAAATAAGGTATTTTACTATTATCAAATCGTCACATAAGACATGCACTCAATGAAGTATCATATAAACACGTCTACTTATAATAAAAATTGAATGAGTCATAACGATCTATTGGCAACCTCCTAATGTTTGTTTTAGCGCACATCTAACTATCTTTTCAGAATATACATTATAAAGCAGAAATGAAATGTATAGCTAATGTTGGTTGAAATACAAGACAAAACTAACAAAATGTAAGCTAAAATCGGGATTAGGAGGTTGTCAACGGGTCGTAAGGACTCATTCGATTACTTTTTATAAGTGGACATATTTATATGACACTTTATTTATTACTTGATCTAATGTGATGATTTTGTAATAGTAGAAGGCCTTATTTGATCATTTTCTGTTCTTATTTTTATTTCTTTTCCATGTTTATGTATTCAATTTTTTCCTTCTTTTTTGTTCCCGTTTATCATTTCATCCTTAACTTTATGTATTTTTCCAAATTAGTTCCCTTCGTAAAAAAGATCTTTTTCTCATTGTACTAATTTTTTACTTTACTTTCTTTTTACTTCCACTTATTTAATTCATTTTCCCTTTTCGTACCTTGATTCTAGCACTAATATATTTAATTTTCTCTTTCTAAAAAAATCATAGAAAATATAGAAACAAGTGATCGGGGGGAAATTATAAAAAGAAACTACAACGAATAAGAATACATAAGAAGGAAAGAAAATAAAAATGGAGGAGAAGAAAAAAAGAAAAACCTATGAAAAGAAAATTCTATAGAATAACTGGTATGGTAAATTGATAAAGGAATACATAAACAATGTAATTCAATAAAAATAAAAAGGAAGAAAAAGGAATAAAAGCATTGTGATGATAAAGAAAAAAGAGAGAAAACTTTTAGGAAGAAAAATTATATGTGGGAATGTTTGGATAAGATTTGTGAAAGGTGTGTTTTATTGTTAAATGTTTTGCAAATAAAATGAAATAACCTGGAATAGTAAGTATTCGATCGGTGAGGGACCGATGAAAGAAGATGAGGTACAAAGGTGGGATTATTCTTGAGTTACGTTAAGTGGGACTATTGTAAGAAGAACGCAAAAAATGTGATAATTAGTTTCTATTTTACCTTTGGTAAAGGGTTTTGTCATCCACTTTGTGGTTCCTTTGATCAATTTCAATTAGTTTAACTAATTGAGAACCAATATAACACGTAACTTTTGATTTCAAACATTAAATTATGTAATAGAAAAAATAAGGTTGTAGTTACTTTTCTGGTTTGTATTGGCTCAAATTATAACCGTAGATGATCATTTTAGATATTTTTCATATAATTTTTTATTTATTTTTATTAATAAAGAGCTCGTTTGGTGACTCTATTTTTCGGCTTATCAGGCTTATCACCCAACTTTTTAACCAAACACGTGACTTTTAATTTCTTGCGATGAATTGTGTAATACTCTGTAATAAGAAAAAGTTAGATTGGAGTCACTTTTCCGGTTGTATTGATTGAAGTTAATGTAGATGACCATTTTAGCTATGTTTTCATATTTTTTTATTTTATTAAGGGAAAATAACTTTAAATAATACAAACTATCTTCCATGAATCAAGAATAATACTCCGTACATACTTTGAAAATGATTTTTAATAATACCAACTATTTGCATATAAAACAAAAATAATATGGAGCCACTTTTCATCAAGAAATCCAATCATTTAAGACATAAAAATCTAATAGCAAACTATCTATTAAATGATATTTGGAAATACAATCACTTATTTGATATTTTGATACTACTTTTTGATGAATTGAATAACTGAATTTTCATTGAAAAATTGCTCTATATCACTTTTGGTCTATGTTTGGATAGTTGGTATTATTAAAAGTAATTTCCAAAGTATGTATTATTCTTGGTTTAGTTTGTATTATTTAAATTTATTTTCCCTTTTATTAATAAAATATATTTTAAATATAATTTTTTCATAAATTAGCAGAATTAGCCAATACAGCTACTTCAGCAGAACTTCATAAATTTCAACAGAATCAGATGATACGGGTGATTTCAGTATTACCAAACGGGGTCAAAATATATTTTAATTATAATTTATTCATAAATCAGCAGAATCAGCCAATACCGTTACTTCAGTCAGAATTTCATAAATTTCAGCAGAATCAGCCGATTCAGTCGATTTACAGTGTTATCAAACGGCTCTGAGTTAACTAATTGACTAGCTAAACCTAAATACCTAATATATGGTAAAATAACTTTGTAAA